AAAGAGATTGAGAGGCAAGGAAAACAGATTTCAAACACGCGGCTTAACTAGTCCCTTAAACTACCATGGCGTTTGGGAAAGGGTAACTAGTCTCTAGGATGCGATTTTCAGAGATCTCTGGATCCTGTCAAGGTAAGAGCTCTCTCTGATCATAAAGATCTTGGCGTGAGACTCTTTAAGCCTTAAGAACTCGACATCCTAGAAGAGAAAGCCTTTAAGAACAAGAAAACACCAAACTTGAAAACCTTTTTGACCCCTTGAATCCTCTCAACCCCAAAATCCAATAAAACTACTGGCGACTCATGAAATAAACCGTACGAAATGCAATAAACGAAGAACTAAACATGAAAGGCGATTGATTTAACTTAAACGATTCAATATTCAAAAGCAAAAACAAGAAAAAGCTCGAAGTCTAACAATGATGAATCGCCTAAAACGAGAGAGAAGACAGAAAAGTAGTCGACAAAACGTGATAATGAAAGGGATCGTTGGTCTTTGCCTAAAATGGCCAAACCGCAAATGGTCCCCCCCTTCGCTACGGTCCAAAAACAGGCTGGACGGATAAGGTTGGTTTGGGATCGATCACGAAGCTCGATCTGGCAATCGATCATGTCCTGAATCGAGTGGCTCTTGGTCGATCCCCGAGTCGATCTTGTGCTGATCGGGTTGGAAGCTCGATCCGGTCCTCAATCTGCATGGCATCGTCTACGTCCGTACTCCAAATCGATCTCCATGCTCGATCTTCTGGTCGATCTCATCTAGATCGACCTGCCTTGCTCGATCTGTTGCTCGATCTCAGGTCCTTAGCGTGCAATCCTGATTTCTCCAAGTGTCCACGAACCTCTTCACGAGCCTCAGCACGTCCACGAATCTTCCATAGCTCCAAAGTAACCGAAAGCAACCTGATTGTGATGCAAAATGCACGAAACATGCGAATGCTGGTGCAAAGACACTCTAGGACCTAAAGTGATGCAAACTAACCTAATATGCAATGTAAATGCATGAGAAACTAAACTATATGTATGCAAAATGCATGGAATATACAGTTATATCAAATAGCTCAAAGACGAAGCGATTACAAAGATTGGTATAACCGAGAGGTTATGCCGAAGTGAAAGAGAAGTGTTTATGCGATAAACTAAAAAGCTTGGAATTCTTAGGTTTAGCTCTGCTGCTCTATAGATTGTATGAGTTGTCCTTCTTGTGCTCCGGGGTCTTCTTATTTATAGGGATAGGAGGTCGGTTGTTGCGAGCTCCTTTTTCTTTTCTCCTTTGGCGAATATTTTCATATTAAGATATGAAAATATCTCTTATTCTCCGTAGAATATGGAAATTCCTCCTTATCCTTGAATATTCCTTTGAGCTGATCTGATGCTTCGGGACTTTGAAAATTATCTTTGAGAGTTTCCTTTTTAAAGTTACGTCGGCGCAGTCTCCTTTTAAGAAATGTGTTCATTTTCTCTCTGACAATAACAATGGTGAGGCATTGAGTTCTTGACAATGTGTTTCGAGAGAAAAACATTCGAATTGTAAAACATCACTAATTTGAACAATAAAGAATTCGACGATTTGAAGATACGATAATGTGAAAGAAGTGTCTTTTTTTTTTTACTTTTAGTCATTTTCTACATCTAATGTTTCTATTTATATTGTTTTTGTCTATGTGGTTTGTTGTGGGAAAATGAGAATTTATTAGTGTTTGACTGTTTGTATTAATTTATTAGAGGTCTTGAAGAAAATGATTTTTTTTGTAAATTTTAATAATTCTTTATTTATTTATGCATAAACAATACATTGTATATATTAATTGATCATAATTTAATGAAAAATACTGCATTGTTTTAATTGTATTGATTGATTCATTGACTTAAGTAATTTAAATGTGATGTGGAAAAAATGACATGTAATAATAATATAACCGTGACATTATATATTTTTAGTAAATATGATTTTGTACATAATTTAATCTATAAAATAAAGAATTTTATAAAAATAAAATTTAAAGCCAAAAATTAGTCTTAAATCATCATATAAAATTAATTATTATAAAATATATATCTAAAAATATATTTAATAAAAACCTTATATAAGACTTCTAAAGCCAAAAACCAGTTTAAAATCATCAAATAAAATTATTTATTATGAATAAAATTACTTATTATAAATAAAATTAAATATTTACAAAAATAATTTTTATTTTTATAAGATTTTTATCTTATACATATTAATTTTATATGCATATAATTTTGTCAATACATTAAAATAATTTTTCATGAGTGAATGTTTTTTTAATATATTGTTATCTACAGTTTATATTTTATATTAACGCAAATATCAAAGTTAGAAATAAAGAAAACTCTTAATACTTTTTTATATATACTAAATCCGAAACATAATTTTACAGTTATTCAAATTTAATTTGAATTGGACCAATCATTCAAAATTAATTCAAATTAAACCAATCATTTATTAATTATAAATATTAAATATTAATACTATGATTAGTTTATTTTTACTTTCATACTAGGTGATTGCCCAGCACCTTGTGCGAGGAATATTTCATTTTAATAAAAATTGACAATGTTAGTATGTTTGGAAGTGAACAAATAGGATTTTCATTTGGACATTCAAAAGATAGTAATTACAACTGCGCAAGAAAATAGTTTTATCAATAAATCATCCACAGTATAAAACAAAAAAAAATGTTAAGATTTAGACTCATCGTCACATATATTATTAGCACTACACTGTTTAAAGTCTTAATAAATTGTTTGACAAAACATAGACAATTTCTAAAAAATATTTAAAGAACCATATAGTGCTATGATCAAAAGCTGCATTGAACCAAAATGATTGTTGAACCGAAGACATATTTATTGGAAAACAGTGTAATCACACATCCTTTCATTCAATAAAGATAATCAGAATCACTGAATATTAAAATTATTTTGTTGATTGAGCTCCATATAAACAGAAAGAGACAAAATCAATATTTCCCAGAAACAATCAGAAACTATATGAGAGTTTTAGGACTTTTTATTAGTTTTTTCCCCTTAGGTTTATAAATAGAGAACCTCTTATCATGTGAACTTTAAGAGCATTAGTATTGAAGAGCCCATGTGGAATAAAATAAAAAATAAATAAAATGATGTGTCAAGCTCATATACTGAGAACCATCATTTAGAGCAACCCCAACGGAGAACTTTATGTGTCTACAGTATAAGGTCTTAGTAATAAAAATGAATAAAAAATAGTATAAGGATCTAAATTAAGACATCCAGTGTCTAAAATAAGATATTTTTTTGAATTAAGACACACAGTGTCTAAAATAAAATAATAAAATATTTTTAAGAACATTTTAATGAGTTCTCCATTAGGGTTGGTCTAAAAGCCCAAAAAACGATTCTAACTTTTTTTAATATAAAATATACTTAAGAACCATGAAGCTCTCCAATGCTCATGCTCTAAGAAACTTTTAAAAAACCATCTATCACATAGCAATGAAAACGGCTAACCTTGAGTGGATTAATAACTTTGTTTGCTAGAGTATAATATACTTACTCCAAAAGCTAAGCAACAGTAATTAAACTGTTTCCCTCTATGCAATCACCAAGACCCAACAAACTGATTCCACGACGAATACTGACCAAACTGGAAAAATGGGTTTAGTGTCAGAATATTGTTCCGCAGCTTCTCAGGCCATCAATACCATCACCACCAAATCCTTGTGTCCCAATTAAAGCCCCCACTCAGATTTTTGTTATTAAGAGCTAACGATGATTTTTTTCGCAGATTCGGAGCCTCTTTCTAGTGCTTTTTGCTTGTGCTCAGACACAAACAGATTAATATAACATTCGGATATCAGATCTCCTTTTCATCTGTGTTATTCATACGCATGAGATAGTCGACTTCATGCCTATCCTCTCTGATGAGCCACACACGGAATCAAATCCGTTCTTCTTCACCGGACAGATATCATTGAGTTCCTTCTAAAATCTGTCCCTGATAACCTTTTGATAACCGTTGAAGAGTAGTTTCTTATATCTTGTTTAGGTATCTGAACTCTTTTAACACTGTCTAGAGCTACAGATCTTTTCCATCTTATGCAGACTCATCATCACAGCCTCCTTTTCCTGTATTATGCAAGTTATCAATTCCATTACTTTGAAATCTGTGTGAGCTTGCTGTTTCTGAAACACAGGAAAAGAGAAATAAGTCAAAAGTTATTTCACCGTCGATTTCTCATGACCAAACCCGTTCATCTCTTTAATAGCACCCATCATAGATTTTTTATAGTCTCTTTAATAACTCTTTTCTATTCATATTTTCAATAGCATCCATCATAGAACTCTTTTCCATTGATCTCTTCAGTAGCGTTCATCATCCAACAAACAATATATATAAGACAAAAGATTAGGAATTCCATTAACAAAATTAAGTCTAATCGTAAAGGTTGTTGTTTATTTTAGGATTTAGTCGTAAGTCACTTTTTATTTGTCTAACCGTAAACAAAAAAAAATGATATAATGATTAATAATTAAATATTTAATAAAAGTGAATGAGAGAATTGTATTCGCCAAAATTTTTTTCGTAAATAATAATATAGATAGAATAGTATAAATAAGTAAATAATTAATATTAGATAAGTAAATAACTAATATTAGATAAGTAAATAATTAATAAATTTCATTAAGGATAATTAAAATAAATTCACATAAGGGGTAAAAAGTAATCAACCATGATAAATCTCCACCATAACCTAATTTGCTTGGCAATTTGCTTGGCAATTAATAATATGATTTACAAGCGAATCACCTAGTATAGATTTTCTATTTTTTGTGTTGGTCTCTGGTTCCATGTTAAGACGGTGAAGTTCCCATTTTAACAAGTTCCTCCAGTAATCAAATATAGGATCTCAAACACACATTCTTCTCTAGCCCCAGAAATGTAATCGACGGTTGTTTAGAATCCTTAGAAAGTGTGAGCCAAAAAAAGCAGAAGCCTGAATGATGAACAAACTTAGTTTGGATCATCTAAACTTTGGAAAAACATAAATGCAAGTTATATTCTTAACCTTTTTTTTACAGAATGGGAAAGTTCAACATAATATCACACAGGTATGAACAAAAGCCACTTATATGATTGGAAACAACCAAACAAACCACAGAATTTTCAAAAGAAAATGCACGGCTAACCCGAACTTCATCTTCTTGTACTGTTGTTAAGAAGAACATGGTGAAGCCGGAATGTTTCGCCTTGGTTTCCGTTCAGTGACCGCCTCTCCAAACAGCACACGGTTAGTTGTCTGAGAAGTTTCTCCAGATGTGAATGCAAGTGACAGCTTCTCTGAACATCTTTCATATTTGGATTTGTTGATAGAATCGCTGAGTTCACTGCATCAGCCACTAGTTCCTTCTGTGAGTCTTCTAGGAAGTACCCCACCGATGATTCCTCGGGCTTTTCATAAACAAGCAAAGCAAAGCAGTCCTGAATAATCAACAAGAAAATCGAGTTGATAAGAGATCAGCAACCTCTTGTTTATACCAGATGTTGCTTGAAAGAGACAAGGGAAGAAAGTTGGAAGGAATCATCGGTACCTCGACTATATCTTGAAATCCGGTTAACCCAACAAATCTAGCTAACTCGAGTCTGCCATACTTCACACCTTCGTCAAGTTTTCCAACCTGTTTATGCCATGTTTTGCCAGAACCATAGTTAAAAAATTAGTCCCAACACCAAAGAAGTGAAAGTGAATGAAGAAGGAATAATACAGGGAACCAACTCAAATGTGTTATAGATACTCGACAAAGTGGTTCCGTGCATCTTTTATCTAGGGATACGATTTTGCACTCAGTTTTATCAAAGTTAATTAATGTAATTTTTGTAATAACATGGCATCTAGCTAACATGGTTTCCAGTAAGATGCAGATGGTTCTGTGCATTCCTTCTCTACAGACTAAGGTTTAAGACCAACGACCATCACAGTTCAAGCAGCTAATTTTTGTATGGTAATACCAAATCCTTCAAGCTTCCTTCATTGACAACGCTTTCATAGTACGACCCAAACAGAAAACTCTCTCTGAAACAAGTATTAAAACCATGAAATTTAGATGGAATGAAGAGTATACCCGTACTAATTCGATAAACTTTTGACAGTGAAGGAGGAAGCAAACTACTGATTTATCGTCCTGCAGTAAGTACAGCTGGGTAAGAGTTCATATCTCAATCCTGTGAAGTGGATCATCTTAACAACATGACAGGAAATAATAGTTCACCTGTACAATTTGGGGATACCAATCCCGGAGTTTAGCCAGAGCACCATCAATCTCACCGTTCCTGACAAGCTATACCGAAAAAAGTACAGAGTCGTAGTAAAGTAAGAGAATAGCAGGTCTTATTTGCTAAACTGTACTGTAGCGGTAAGATTTTTCTGTTCTATACCTGTCTAAGAGTCTTTCTCTGATTCAAAGCATATGATGAATCGTCCTCATCAATAGCATTCTCTTGAGCTATATGGATTGGAGGAACTGTAGTTTTAGTAGCAAGGTCGAAAGCGTCGAGTGTCTCCTCATAGCCATAGTGTAGCAAATAGGTCTTTACAAGCCTAATGATAAAGAAAATAAAACTTTAGCTATAGCAGAAAGCAACTCCCAAAGGACCTGATCTCTTACTACTCGGAAGGAATTAGAATGTACTCACCCATAACCCATGTTTGGAGGTATAGATATTTTTTCGATTGCCATTTGTTGCTTATTCCTCTCAGATGCTTCAAATCCCTAATTAAACAGAAAAATGGTAAGAGTCCTCGACAAAGCCTTACTCCTGATTGCACCATCCCCACCTTAATATAAAGCTAGGACCTAGCGACTCTACTATAGTACAATTTTTCTGTTAATTTTTTTTTCTCTTACCTTGACATCAAAAGCAAACTTCGTCTTCCCAAAATTGACAGAAACCCTGCAAAAGTTCAGAAAAAAACCTCATCCTGTAAGTAGTTCTACTGAAATTGCAAGCAGCCAACAGCGGAGATACATGATGATCATCAAAGAGAAAGTGAGAACATACTCTTCATTTTGGCTATGTACAGCTACAGTAGGAAATAGATGGCCCTTAATGTCCTTAGGGATTTTCCCCACAAGAGCTCCGTTTTTACTGGTTCCACAAACAAAACCAACGCCAACAGAGAAAATCAAAAGGAAGCATGGAAAATGGACTGATTCGTGAATTCATTTTCCAGTAGCAAAAGACATGAAACAGTTGTTTCTTACGTGAAAAAGAACTCCTGTGAAGCGTAGTTTATACCACCACCGACCGTATCACCCTTTGTATAAGTTGGACCAAAGGCTTCGCCTGTTCCCTTTCCTCGATATAGATATCCATCATCCCCATGGTAGCCACAGCTGTTCACTTCCCATCTACGATTACAAAAAGAAACAATAAACCAGACAGCCACACAAGCTCTAATTCTATGTTTAACTTAAATGCAACAATGATCAAAGCTTCGAACTAAAATTATGCAGGTAAGGCACCATAATCCTACTGCGTAATTTAATCAAGAATCTAGTTTTCAGTTAAGCCAAGAAGCAAAGTCCCCCGAATTCGGAGATCTTCCCAAAACCAATCCAATATAAAGGAACTCAACAAAACGAACACAACCTCATCCAAGAAGCAAAATCTGCACGGAACACAACTTGAATCCGAAAACCAAGGAGCAGAAAAAAATATAAATTAGACAGCCACATAAGCTCAGAATCTATTCCAAACCTTAAATGCAACAATGATCAATCCTATTTCCTATAGCGACAGCTGTTCACTTCCGATCTACCATTACAGAGGAAACAACAAAATTATACCATCATCCTCATGAATAGCCACACAATCTCAAATTCTATGCCAAATTTAAATGCAACAAAGATCAAGCTACGAGCTATAACTATGCAGGTAAAGCTTCTTGCATGACTTCTATCAAAAGTATCCTTTTTCCGTAACTAATCAAGAATCTAGTTTTCAATTGAGCCACGAAGCAAAGTACTTTCAATTTCGATTATTTCCAAAACCAATGCTACATAACGGAGAACCCAACTTTATCCACGGAACAAAAATCTTTACAATGATGAATTCTATGGTACGCCATACCTTAAATGCAACGATGATCAAGCTACAAGCTAAAACTATGCAAGTAAAGATCTCTCAAAGCCATCATTATCCTTTTTCCCGTAATAAATCAAGAATGAAAGTTTTCGTTGAGTGAGCCACGAAGCAAAATCAACTAAAACAGTAGCATTTTCTTTAGCCTGAACTTCTCAAAACCACTCCTACAGAAAAGAATTCAACAGAAAGAACACAATTCTCATCAAATAAGCTATAAATCTTTACCCGGGCTGTCTCCGCATTTTGAAGCTCTCTTTAGTGAAACCAATAGCGACTTGCCCTTTAACGCCAGCATCCTTAACAAAAATCTCGAAGTAGTAAGTGAGACACTTGAACGGAGCAGGTCTATTAGCCTGAACAACACCAACGTCGTGACCGTGAAGATTCGTCGTCGTATACTTGACGGAAAGTTTATCGGGAGAGACAATCAGAAACCCTCCTGCGCTATTAATCGTGTTCAGCTCCGTGGGCAATTCTTCACCTTCACCATCTACCTTCGAATCACCTCGCGTCGTTGCAGAGAGACGAACCCTGTCAAGGTAGTGTAAGATCAGATCTCGATCTCGATCTCGACCATTTCCGGTGCTGGTCTCGCCGTTTTCGTGGCGGCCGTTGTCGGTATTCGCCGTTGACGGTAAAGAGCTCATTCGAATTCAAGATTGGATCACAAAACAGAGAAAAACCCTAGAATTTTCGAATTTCAAAATGATATTTTCCGAAAGAGGGATTTGAGATTTGGACTGTATAAAAACTTGAAAACAGATTTTGACGAGATTTCTTCTGATTCTCTCTCGACAATTCGATCCCTTCTTCATATACTACTAACTACTTCGTTAGTCATTTCCCCCTTTTCGGCATTTTTTAGACTTATGGAAATTCTTTTTTTTTTTAATTCCATTAAAAATGCACCAATTAAGTAACTATTTTCATAATGACTAATAAATTTGTTCGTTTTTGGTATTTCAACTTACAAGCGTATACGTATTTACACCCTATAGCTTATACGTATTTTAAACTTACAATTAATCAGCTGTTTTCACTTTTCATAACAAACTCCCAACTTTAATCTCTCTCAACTTCAATTAGCAACACATTTACGTCGTGATCGTATAAGAGAAGACAAAGAGATTGCATGAAAGAAAAGAAAGAGGAGAAACAACTGCACCAAAAGTTTAAGGTTGTGAATTTAAAATCAAGTGCCTGTAAGCGGCTTTCTCTCTCAAACCTAATTCTCTCCGCCACCAGCTTCAAGTGCTCCGATCTCCCTCTCTCGTGAGCGGTGGTTCTCACCGCCACCGTGAGAGGGACCGCCTCGTCTTTCTCTATCTCTCGGCTCCCTCTTCGTTGGTTTTCTTTGTGCCTTTGGTTGCAGATCTGGTTCTCCGATGTTGGGTCTTTGGTGTCAGTGGTTTTGTCTCCGGCATCTAGTAGCCGATTTCGTTGCTCGTCCTAGCGTTCTAGGTGTTTCCTCTCCTGTACCATTCAAGTTTGAGGACGGCTTTAGGTGGGTGGTGGTTCACCGACTTCGTGAGCTTTGATTTGCGTCTCCCCGGTTCTGCCGTCGCTTCTGCTTGCTCTGAAGCTGCCTTGCTCTTCTGTTTCGTTGTCTTGAGTCTGCTTCGAGTGTGGTTTGGCTTGTAGGTTCGAGTTTTTGAGGACTTCTCCCTTCCGGCTTGCTTTTCTTTCTCTCATCGCCCTCTCTTGTCTACTCAGCAGTGGTGGCTCGCCTCGTCTCTCCCTTCTCGAAATATGTTCTAGGCTGAGGTAATTTCTCCTCCGGTTTACTTTCCTCCGTCTAGTTCAGTTCGTTTTGCTGGTTCTGCCACCTTCGGTTTCTTCGAAGATAGGTCTCTTCTGTTCTAACGCCCCCAACCGCTCCTACCGGTGAGTTACCCATCTCTCGGACTTGTGGGCCTCACCTTGGTCCGACGGTCGATGCGTTATTTTTCTCGGAGCCCAACCGACTTATTTACTGACCCTGCAATCACCATATGATCTTTTCCCGTGTTTTGGCCTCACTTACACGGTTTCAAGAATCAGTTCCTGAAAGGTCACCCATCCTAGTCCTGCTCCAGCTCAAGCACGCTTAACCTTGGAAAGGCCCACTAACCGAAAAGATAAATGCACTGACATAAATAACCAAATCAATCCATTTAAACTTATTCAAATGGGCCGGGCCCGAGTCGTTACAATTCTCCTCCACTGAACGGGAATTCGTCCATGAATTTTGATCTCGATAGTGTGAGTCATAACCCACAAACCCTACAGTCTCCTGGGACAGAACCAGTTTGACTTCCCAGGCTCTGCTACCACTTGTAACGCCCCCCAACCGCTCATACCGGCGAGTCATCCATCCCTCCATCGGGCTTGTGGGCTCCGCCCCTGTCCGATGGCCGGTGCATTATTTTTCCTAGAGCCCAACCGACTTATTTACTAACCCTCTAATCACCACATGATCTTTCCCCGTGTTTTAGCATCACTCACACGGTTTCGGGAATCACTTCCCGAAAGGTCACCCATCCTAGTCCTACTCCAGCTCAAACACCCTTAACTGTGGAGTTCTCTCGGGACCAGTGACCGAAAAGATAAGTGCACTTTGATGACATAGGTAACCAAATCAATCCATTTAAACTTATTCAAATAGGCCGGGCCCGGGTGTTACAATTTCCCCTCACTGAACGGGAATTCGTCCCCGAATTCTGATCCCGACAGTGTGAGCCTTAACCCGCAAACCCTAGGACAGTCTCCTGGGACATAACCAGTTTGACTTCCGAAGCTCTAATACCACTTGTAACGCCCCTACCGGCGAGTCACCCATCTCTCTGTCGGGCTCGTGGCCCTCGCCCCTGTCCGACGGTCGGTGCGTTATTTTTCCCGGAGCCCAACCGACTTATTTATTGACCCTGCAATCACCACATGATCTTTTCCCGTGTTTTGGCCTCACTCACACGGTTTCGGGAATATCTTCCTGAAAGGTCACCCATCCTAGTCCTGCTCCATTTCAAGCACGCTTAACTTTGGAGTTCTCTCAGGCCCACTAACCGAAAAGATAATTGCACTTTGATGATATAGGTAATCAAATCAATCCATTTAAACTTATTCAAATGGACCGGGTCCGGGTCGTTACAATTCTTGTAACGCCCCACGACCGCCCCTACCGGCGAGTCACCCATCCCTCTGTTGGGCTTGTGGGCCCCACCCCTGTCCGACGGTCGGTACGTTATTTTTCCCGGAGCCCAACCGACTTATTTACTGACCTTGCAATCACTACATGATCTTTTCCCGTGTTTTGGCCTCACCCACACGGTTTCGGGAATCACTTCCCGAAAAGCCACCCATCCTAGTCATACTCTAGTTCAAGCACCCTTAACTGTGGAGTTCTCTCGGGACCAGTGACCGAAAAGATAAGTGACATAAGTAACCAAATCAATTTAAACTTAATTTAAATGGGTCGGGCCCGGGTCTTTATAATTCTCCGCCACTGAACGGGAATTCGTCTCCGAATTCTGATCCCGACAGTGTGAGCCTTAACCCGCAAACCCTAGGACAGCCTCCTGGGACAGAACCAATTTGACTTCCCAAGCTCTGATACCACTTGTAACGCCCTGACCGCCCTACCAGCGAGTCACCCATCTCTCTGTCGGGCTCGTGGGCCCCGCCCTTGTCTGATGGTCGGTGCGTTATTTTTTCCGAAGCCCAACAGACTTATTTACTGACTCTGCAATCACCCCATGATCTTTTCCCGTGTTCTGGCCTCACTCATACTGTTTCGGGAATCACTTCCCGAAAGGTCACCCATCTTAGTCCTGCTCCAGCTCAAGCACGCTTAACTCTGGAGTTCTCTTAGGCCCACTAACCGAAAAGATTAGTGCACTTTGATGACATAGATAACCAAATCAATCAATTTAAACTTTTTCAAATAGGCCGGGCTCGGGTCGTTACATCTGTTATCTCCGTGTTGTCTGCATCTAGTCCCGGCTGTTGTTGAAGTCAGGACATCATTTAGTTTAAGGCTGTCTTGATCGGCTCTCATGGTTTGCTTTGGTTCGGTTGGTTCCGTGAGGTATCTATTCGAGCGTGGTTGTTTGAGGCAGAGTCTCTGTTCTGTCTCTCCTGGCGTTGGTTTTCTATTTCGCCAGTCTGCTTGTAGCGTGTGGCCTTTCGCCGATGGCCCTGTGTCGGCGTTTCTTTCTAGGTACTCGTCTTCTGTGTTGGGAGGTTGCTGCACTTGATCTTTCCTCTGGTTGACGCTATCGTTGCGCTGGTTTTGTGCTGAGGCTGGCTTCCCTGCTTTGCTAGGAGGAGCAGTGTGTGATTCATGGTCTTCTCCTCTCGGTTGTAAGGGCTTCTCTTCGACAAGTTGTCCCTCGCCACTCCTTTGGGTCTTCCGTCTGTCATTCCTCTCCTCGTGTCGTCTTGCTCTGTCGGGCTTAGTTTTCTTCCGCTATCTCTTGGCGTTAGCATGTTGCTTCCCTGCTATCGTATCTTTTTCGTATCCTAAGCTCTCCATTTGTTGTTGTAATTGCTCATTTGCCTTAATATTGTTGTTCTTCAATATTTTACCATGTTGTAACACCTCCATTGTTTTTTAATATGAAATGTTCAAAAAAAAAAAAAGAGGAGAGAGAAAACTCTTTTTTTTTACGTCATAATTTAATGTTTTATCTTTTGACACGTTAGTTTAGCTAATGTTATCTCAATTAAAACTTATAAAATTTGTACAGAAAAAATACGAAAAGAGGTTTCTTTCTCCTGCTCTTAAGCGGCGATTTCTTTTTCCTCTCGTTATCTCTGCCACCATCTTTCAGCGCTCCGATCTCCCTCTCCGTGGGTGGTGCTTCTCACTGCTACCATGGGAGGGACCCCCATTTTTTGCTTGTATTTTTGACAGTTGCCTCAACGTTTTCCCCCTTGCCTTGTGCCGTAGATCTGCGTTTCCCTTTCTGTTAGGGTTTGTTGTTGGAGGCTCAACGTCACTTCGTCTCCTTCGTTTTGTCCAGCGGCTCGAGTTTTTGCTTCTCCTCCCTTACTTTCTCGTGGACGGCTTCTTGGGGGTTATGTAGCATCTCGTTCTGGGAGCATTTATTCCGTGATGTCGTCTTTGGTTCTCGGCCTCGAGTTGCTCTGTAGCAGCAGCGGTTCTCTCTCTCTCTCGGAGGTGGTTTTGGGTGTCTAGTTCGGAAAGGGTCTTGAGGACTAACCCTTCCTTCTCTGCGCCTCTTCTTCATCTCCCCTACCTTTGGTCCCTGCAGCGGCTTCTCTCTTCTTTTGCGACGGATGTTGGTTTTCTCTTCGGTTAGGGCTGTCAAGGTTAGGGATTTCGCTGTGGCTCTGAGGCAATTCCGTCGCGTCTTCCCCATCGTCAGGTGGTGGTTTGGGCGGAGGTTTTTGGCTGTCATTGGGCTCGGTTTGGGCTGCCCTGGCGCCGACCGGTGGTAAAGTTTCAACGTCGGTCAGGATGTTCAGAGCTCCTCTCCTAGTTGTTTGCTAACTGTGGCTTCTTTGTTCTGTCATAGCCTCCAATGTGGTTCCTCCTTCCACCGTCGATGTGTGTTCTGTTTCTGGTGTTGGTTCAGCGGTTCTTGAAGAGTTCAAATTATTGACGATGATGACTTCATTTTTAGTCTTGGTGGTGTCTTGGGTTCAAATAGAGGCGGCGGATCTTACTTGGCGACCATTTACCTTTCGTGGGAGATATTTCTCGCAGTTTTTCAAGCTCGGGATTGGCGGCTAAAGGCGGCTTCTCTAGCAGGCCCGGAGGCTCCCATGCTGCCGGTTGGTATTTGGGTGGGTCGAAGTGTTTCCGTTTCTGTGCTTGTCCTCGGAGAAGCTGTAGGTGTCGTGTTTAGCAAGGTTTTGAGGGCTGGCTTCATGTACGATGGCTCGTGGCAACAACGATGAGGACTCGAGTTCCTAGGAATTGCAAGTGCAAATTTCCGATTGATGGTTGTTCAGAATCGGTGTTTTGTTTTCAGGATCTCGTCTTAGCTTTGGTGTGGGTCTAGCTTATCGTTTTTTGTTCTGTTCTTCCTTCTGTTTGTAATTAAGCACTGTTATTGTTAAATTTTGGTTTTTCTGTCTTTTAAGTTTCTCTGAATTCTGTTTAAAATTAAAATTAGTATAAAATTTAACATTTTACCAAAAAAAAAATGAAAGAAAAGAAAAATGTAAAAAAAAAAAGGAAAGATGTCTGTAATCGAGATCGCGGGAGAAAGAAAGCTACTTGCTCGATAGTGAGAAGAAAAGTTCAAAGAGCAAATATTGTTGCATTTTTTGGTTTGGAATTTTGATTTTATCGATTGTCATTTGTTTGTAACGGGTAAAATTGTTGTGTCTAATAATGTAGTGTTAGATTAAGATGCAAGTAACTTACATATGGTTCGATGGCGTTTAAAGAAAATAAATGATCTTACTGATACAGATTTAGTGTAAGAGATATATGATGACTCAAATGATTTGATTTGCATTTGGTACACTTTTCGAGATTTTACAAAAGATAAGGAAATTGAAGGTGAGATTGAGCAGGTGAAGTACAAAACTATCAATGAGCATACATCTAAGACATTATTTGCAAAGTGATTTTGAGGAATGGAGCTCTCCCATTCAATCTCACTAAACATTACCTAAGTACTTTTAATGAAGAAATCGTTAATTTATTCTACTATTTCCCGAGATTTTCAATATTGTTTTTTGCTGATTTTGTGTATATCTCGAATTTAATTTTTAGATATCTCCAACGTTTTTAGTTACTAAATACTACTAAATAAGTTGGGAAATAATCAAAAAGGAATATTCATTCGTTTTGTTTAATAATCATATAATTATCAAACTGGAAACATAGTTACCATTATCCTAAAATTATGTAGCTTCGTATATCTTCTAAAATTTGAAGATTATTCTTTTTAATTCGGGCCATGGCCCATAATGTATGAGCGGTTGTCATGTAACCCTAATCTTCTTTATGTATATAGTTCAATATTCTAGGATCGGGAAAAATTGTCGATTTGTTTATTTGTTCTTCGTGTTTATTATATTTTATATTTTGGTGAGATTTTCATAAGCGTATCTAATGAATTTTTATATATACATGCAGTTGATGGCTTTGTTGATCTTCTTGAATTATTGTCCTGCTTAGACGGTATGCTCTCTACATATATCATATAGATGTATTACGTTCTTTTGTTGATTTGGATTTGCATTTATTTTTTTTTTATTTGGTTGACGGATAGGTTTTTAGTGCTGATTGCGTTTCGATTACGTGAAGAATCATCGAAATGTTGTTTCCTTCTTTGTAGTTTTGCAGTTGATCATGTTTTTAATTTTATATATGATTGATATTTTCTTATGTATATTTGATTAATATTTTCTTATGTAACAGTAATTTGAAGGATTTTTTCGTTTATGTTCATCTAATGAATTCTTTATATGTATTATGTAGGTGGTTCTCGAATTTTTGATGATAAATAAACGGTATGTTCTCTGTTTATAGTGAATATACAGATGTATTATGTTATTTTCGTTCGTATTTTTTTCTTTTTATTAATGATCGTATAATCGTCTATATATGCTGGTTTCGGGTTTGTGATGTTTTATCAAGATGTTATTTCGTTTTCGTAGTTTTTTAATAGATAGTATAGTTTGATTTTGTATATGCTTCTTTAGTTTCTTTTCATGTATATTCAGGTACTATGTATTCGTTTTGATTTAATTTGGTATATCCTATAGTCTTAGTTGATGAATTTAAACAAGATTATTTTTTGTTAATTATTTTGTGATATTGGTTTGAGTTTTTGATCTGTTTCTGATGGCTAATGGTTGTTCATATTTAGTTGGGGGTTTGGGGGTGTGGCGTGATCGCGCTTTTGAATATATTGTCGATATATTCACGTTCTATTCGAGAGGTTTGTGCCGTTATGGTTTTTCTATTGACTTAATGTTTCATAGTTTGTGTAAAGTCTTTTTTGTGATATTTATATTCTCTTAATAAGATCAAACTGTGTTTGATGTTTTCTTATATTTATAGTTGACGATTTTTTTTTTTAATTGTAATGTTTAATGTGTGATAGGGTTCTTGCAAAAATATACTTAATGATTTGTCCAATGTTGGTCTTGGATTTTAAAGAATGTATTGGGATCGTCAAAGATAGAAGTCTTTGGATTCTTGGATGTATCTGCTTGGTCATGTATGTTTTAAAGAGAAACACTTTCGTTGAAATTCAGTTGAGCTATGTGTGATAAGGTTCTTGCAATGGTGTACTTAATGATTTGTCCAATGTTGGTCTTGGATTTTAAAGAATGTATTGGGATCGTCAAAGATAGAAGTCTTCGGATTCTTGGATGTATCTACTTGGTCGTGTATGTTTTGAAGAAAAACACTTTCGTTGATATTCAGTTGAGCTTAGTGTAGTTTTATTGTATTATGTTATCTATTATTTGTATCTAGGCCGTCTATGATTTGTAATAGTGGTGGTCTCTCTTAATAAGTTATTTTTTATTCTATTTGATTGTTCAATGATATTTCGATTATATATATATATATATATTTTTTTTTTTGGTTTTGTTTTTTTAATATGTTTAAAAATAGGAGTTTAACGTATTAATTGAATTCAGTTTTATATTATTTCTCTATTGGTCCAAAATCGACGATAAACTAATATGTTTTTTAACTCTTCGGTTTTCTAAGTATACTCTGTCTAAAGCGATTGGAAAACCAAAAAAAAAATATTAGATATCCGATAGACTCTATTTAGATCTTCGATAGACCCTAAATATGATTAAATATTACTGGGTACAAAGTCGTTCGATTGTATTGGATATATTGAAATATCGAGAATGTTTTTACTTAAAATTTTTATGGTCTTCCTTGCCGAAAAGTAATAGCAAGAATTAAACTGAATAAATTATGATCTTCGTTGCTGGAAATATAAAATTGTTTTAAAAACATAAATCCATAATTTAAGGTTGAACGCAACATAATATATATATATATATATATTTTTTTAAAACCCTTCTGGTGAGAAATTGTGAAACATGATAGATATCTTAGTCAGAGTCTTCGTCGTTTCCACTGAAAGAACAGAAACAATATAAATGGTTGGTTTTGAGAATCATGAATAAGGAGTTAAAACACGGTTTAAACTTTATTCTACTTACAATGCACGCTTGAACCTTCTAGCCTCAAAAATGTCTGGATCATACAAAACCCTCGATACTTCTCCAACATCCACCAGTTGAACATGTTCTATATAAAAGGATCATATATTAATCACTAAATAAAATGGTACAGTTTAAAAATATAAATAAATTAACATCAAAATTTATATGTAAACATACCTCCAACCTTCACCACACGAAAATCACCTAGGACACAAACCATGTTATTCGAGTTGAAGTTCCACCATTTCTTAGTAATTTCAAGTGCAAGTTTCCCATGAGCAACACAGCTTAGATTTGTCCCTCTGTCATAATTAAACGTAAATATTCACAAAGATATAGCACTTTAGATGCTTCAGGATAAATATCAAAATAATATCATCCATATATATTCATTTAGTTTTAAATTAAACATACTGTGTGTTCTGTATAGCAAATGAGAGCTGACATGTGTTGGTGGGACACATGGGCCCAAAGTCAGTATTTTTTACTTTGACAATATCTGTAAACATAGATATCCGACCTAAGATATCTGAAAATAATGCAAAAATATTTAATCTGCTAACTCATCATTAAGTACACAAAAATATCTAACTTATAAACAAAAATAAAAATACTTACGAACTGGTATATCATGGTTGAATCTTCCATTGATGAGATTATCAAAACTTGTAAATTTCATGTAGTGTTCGTCAGTTACATCATACTCTTTCCTCGCGTCAGTGTTATCGAGTAGACGGATTTTCCACTTGCAATCGACCAAACGATTAACTGTCTCACTTTCAAAGACCGTAAAATGATGTAACTTAAACCATTTTCCAACAATTAGTTTCGTTTTATATTAAGGCTGGTTTTGAAGATCATCACATATAGCATGAATTTTATCACCCTATCAAATTTTATTAAACCGTTAATTAGACAAACATATAATGAAAAGTAAACAAAAATATATCAAAGGATGAAATAAAATATACCTCTTCATCGACGAATATGAAGTTTAACACTTCGGTTTCACCTTGAGAAGTGGATTCCCAACACTTAAAAACCATGACACGGATGTGCCAGTTAGATCTCCACTGATTGAGATTCTTGATATTGTGAAACAAAAGATCCATCCTTAACAAAATCCTAAAATTGACGGTTTTAAAGACAGGAAAAAGAAGTAATAGGTTTCGGGTAATAACATCTTATTCTAATGTGAAGTATTATTTATTGAGTTTGAAGAACAAGGGTTTTCGATGATATCGAAATGATGTATCTCAAATTCAAATTTTGAACTCTCATTGAACCTATTAATGAAAATATGTAAATGATGCATCTTGGCATTATATAAAATATTATATATTCATATGTGTATCTGTTTCTGATGAGGTCGTCATAATTATTAGTTAGTATGTGGTATCTTGAATGAGATTATATAGGATAGGATACTTCTATGCATATTGATTGATGTATATACGCGTAAAATGTATATAATGTTGACATCTTCTAAGTCAAAAAAGTAGAATGGGATATATCCTGAAGCATGCTATTCTTACCCATCCGGATATTTTTATATTAGTTTTACTTTAAGATTTTGTTGATTAGGATTGTTAGA